GTTCAGCAGCACTTAAGTGATACAAACCAGGACAATTGAGAATATTTTTAGGTGTGAAGAGAAAAAGGAGAAAAGAATTCGTAATAGAAAACAAACCTGCCTCAATAACTTCATTTACCTCACTGCCTGGCTGAACCTCAAAAACATAGAAAAGAAAGCGGAGCTGATTTTTCTGAACTCCTATTTGTCCTCACGATCCAATCTCTCTGCTCCCAAATTCAATGGATTAAAAGAGGCAGTGGATGTTCAAGGAGACAATGTGGCTCTGTCTTTCATTATCCCAGCAAGGGAGATTAATAAATGTGATTCCAGTATCTATTGTTCCTGTGTCAAATGAACCTGCCTCAGTGCACACAGTTTATGCTGGTTTTCCCAGGAATCCCTTGGAAATGACCCTGTCTCTCACTTGCTCCCATCAGATAAATGACAATACATGAGATGCAGACTTAGAAGGTATTTCTGTAGCAGGATGATTGAGAGACATAAAAGACAGGGTAGTTCATCCAGTTCCTTCCGTCTGCCCTTTTGGGACTCCTCTTATCACAGCAGGATGTTCTCCAGCGCTTTGCCCAGACTGTTTTTTAATCTCAAGGGGTAAAATTTCCACTACTCTTGTGACTATGACCCCATCTCCAGAACTGCTGTTAAAACTAACTTTGTCTTTGTTCATTTTCAAGCCCTTTCTGCTTCCTTCTGCAAAGACACTGTCCTGACAAAATGATCTTGCCATCTGTTTCTGAGATGCAATGTCTGGGTGCAAATTAAGTGACTTTAGAAGACTTGATTTCAGACTGTCTCCTCATGACAGCTCCCTGTTTGGAATGGGTGCTGCTTCTATTTAACATGAGGTGACATGGGATTGGTGCATCCTCAAGAAAGTGAGAGTCTATGCACAGACCTTCTGAAATGCAAATTCCTAACAAGATAAAGGTTATGTGTTTTCCTAATATGTGATGACCATCTGCTATCAAACACTTAGTTGCATAGACGCCCATGGCCATACACCCTAGAATCTAGGGTATGTTTGGATACGAGGTAGTCAATATATTAACTGTTGCTCTCCATGTTATGCAGCGGTCAGCAGCCCAAAATACTGTACAGTTCACCCAGGGTATGTTCTTCACTTGCTTAGCCCTGAGAAATCCTTTATAATGCCTATTTGACACAGAAAAAGCCCATGTCTGTTGTATTCTTATCTTAACAGTCCCAATGTACTAACATCAGCCTTCACCCATTTTGCTATGTGCTCACCTGAACTCTAAAAAGATCAGCTCATCTCTGCTAAACACAAATGCTGACTCATAAAGTTGGATCACACAAACAAATGAGAAAAACAAAAGAAGTCGCTATAAACATGCAGTCCTTACCTGTCACTACGAGCTGCATGGTGAGGTTCTTGTACAGGCCGTATTTTGCATTGCTCAAGACAATTGTATAGTTGCCAGCATGCTTGGGTCTCACGTCTCTTATGCCCAGTCTGTACTTCATTGGATCTGGTTCGTAGCAGGTGTGGTTATCCTTGATCAGTTTGCCATCTTTGTACCTGTTTTGGAAGTCCCATCAAGACTCACCATGTGTTTGCATGTTACCCCTCAGAAAAACTAATTATTATTCAAATTGGAATGGGTCATCCTTTGGAAACAGCAAGGGAAATTCAGCTTTGTAATCGTGTTTGATCTACCCCTTTCATCCCATCACACCAAAACTGAATAGCACGTGCAGTGCTATGGGACTGCTTCATCCAACTGACAGGAAAAGGATATTTTAATGAGTCTGAATTAACAGTGCCTGTTGCATGCTCAATTATAATCAGACATGTGCAGCTAGATGCTGCTGAATTACGCAGCCAAACTAATGTCAAATTAGTTAAGCAGAATTATTTTTCTATGTGTATGTATGAAAGTGCTTCTAAAAATGCTGAAGCCTCTGTTTTGGAGAATTTGAATAGGAAGGTCAGTGATGATTTTACAGTCTTAAATCTTCACTAGCCATAACTCTAATAGCAGTCTGCATGGCCTTCTCCATCTTCACTGCTAAACTGTTATGCAGATTTGAGTTTTGAATATCAAATACGCAAGACTTTGCCACACACAGTGCTTCAGAGTTGGTGGAAGCAGAAGCTAGGACACGTGTCTTACTGTATGAGAATGCTGGAAACCTCCTTTACAGTCATTTAAACAGCTTGTCCTGAGAGACCTCCAACATCAACAGCTGTAGCTGGGAACACACAGGAGAGGCAGCTCTGGTGGTCCCAGGCAGCTACCAAAGGATGCTCCGTGCTGAGCCCGGAGAACAAAGCCTTGGCAGAGAGAAGGGGGATGGTCCCCACCTCAGCTCACAGAAAGGTCCCCATCTCCTAAGAAACTGCAACAATTACAAGTATTCCCTGGCAGGGCTGAGATTTCTGGTTTGAAGTGAATGCTACAGAATTTCATGTTATTTAACTACTAAAAAAAACCAAAAAACAAATAACAGCAAATGATCCCTGACCAATGCTTTTTGCTGACTGCCACCCACCCTGAGTGGAGCTCAGCTAGCCAATGACAAGTGCACCATGAAGGTGCCCATGCACTCCAGCCACCTTCTCTGCCAGCACAGGCAGATCCACAACAGCTGTGCTAGAGGATTTCCTATAGATAAGGATGGATAAGTGATGGATAGGATAGTTAAAGATCCTCTATGAAATGAGGTGCGAGAGAAGCAGCAAGAGGGAGGACAAAAGAGATGAAAGGATGGAGATGAGTGTCTCCTGGTGCTGCTGCTGACATGTTGCACCCCTATTAAGTTGATCTGTCACACCCTAATAGTGCAGCCTTTGGGATGTACAGGATTCTGTGCACTGTCTGCAAGGATGTGGGGTAGGGAGTGAGAGGGGTCATGAGTATGTGGAGATGACTCAGATAATATTGCCTCAGTTGTTGACTAGAAATCAGTGGCAGAACTAATGCCATAATAACTAATGCCATCTATATTTTTTACAAGTGGCACAGGCCAGAGGTCTTGGTATGGTCCATATGTCCCTGGTAGGGAACAGAGCAGATTAATTTTCCACAAAATATTGCAGGTAACACAAGAAGTCAAGTAAAGTTTTCCACAAGTGGAGGAAAATATTTAAAAGAGATTAAGAGAAAGCATTTGTCATGTTAGAAATGTCCCTTGCAGCTTTCTAGTAAGAGTTGCCTCCTGGCACACTGGCCACCAGTAATGCTGGTAAGAGAACA